TGGGGCGGGGCCTCCTCAGCTCTGCCTTTGGCTTTCCTGAGCCTGAAGGGCAGGGCAGTTTTCTTGGGATGGCGTCTGAGAGAGGCAGCCCTGTGACTCCTCTGCCTTCTTGCCCCACAGAGCACCATCAACCAGACCCCTGTGACCCTGCAAGTGCCCGGCTTGATGAGCTCCCAGGTGCAGATGGGTGGCCACCCGACCGAGGTCCTGTGCCTCATGAACATGGTGCTGCCTGAGGAGCTGCTGGACGACGAGGAGTATGAGGAGATCGTGGAGGACGTGCGTGATGAGTGCAGCAAGTATGGGCTGGTCAAGTCCATTGAGATCCCCCGGCCCGTGGATGGTGTCGAGGTGCCCGGCTGTGGAAAGGTGTGTACTTGTGTGCTCGTGCGCCCCCTGACACCATCTCCCTCCCCCCTCCTCCCTCCATCCCTCCCTCCATCTCCCCTCCCTCCCTCCGTCCCCCCACGTTCCCCCACCTTTTTGGCTCTCCGGGACCCAGGGCTGCAGTGAGGCAGTGGGAGTGCAGGGCTGCTGTGGGCAAGGACTTGGGCTCTGTATCAAAGCAGCTTTGGTTCATAGCTTGGCTGTTCTGTGACCTTGTGCAAGTGGTTTGGCCTTTTCTGTGGCCTGGGGGGAAGTGCTAATGAGTCAGGGCAGGCACAAACCCCCTTGTGTTCCGAAGCCAAGTACCCTGCTAGCTCACCTGTGTTATCTCGAACTCATTGTAGTTCTTGAACCCCATCCTTGGAGGACATGGCCGCAGGGTCAGAATTTACGGCCTGATTTTCCAGCCCACTTGAGTCCTGTCACTTCTGGCACTGTGCCTTTGCTTTCCACTTACCCAGGGAGTTGGTGGGGGTTGCCTTTCTGTCTTCAAGCTGAGTGGGGGGAGCGGGGAGCGGGGAGCGGGCTGTGCTGTTATTGTGCTGACCTGTAGTGGGGAAGGAAGTGGGCCCTGGATGCTGATTCCAGATAGGAAGAGGTGGCATTATTAAACATTCCCGAAATGACACCCAGCTGTCAGGGTCCCGGGAGGCGGTGCAGAGCCCCTGGGGCAGGAGCTTGAGGATGGGAGCTGGGGCCCAGAGTGGATCTATGGGAGAATGGGGTGCGGTTCAGGATTTGAGCCAGGTTAGCTTGTTGACTTGGGTGATGGATTATGGTTTAGGGAGTGCGGGAGGGGAGGGAGGAGTCAAGTACGAGTCTCAGCCTTCTGGCTTTGGTGACTGGGCAGGAACACAGGTGAGGAGCAGGGAGATGAGTAGTTTTGGGGGAGGGGGGATAATGGACAGTGTTATGGGGCTGGCTTTGAAGTCCTGTGACATGCTAGCAGAGATGCAAAGGAAATGGTGAGCTGGACAGAGCTGCATCCCCACTGTGAGGTCTGATATGAACATGGACAGTCTCTTGCTGTCTCCTCAGTGTTGTGGTGGCCAGCCATCTCTGGTGTGTCTCTCACTTTCTTTCAGTGTTGTCAGCCAGCACTAGAACAGAGCCTGGAACTGGCCTCGGTTGGGGCTGAGTGCATATTTGTGGGAGGAACAAACAGAAAGATCCAGCCTGGTGTTTCGGATTAGTCTATCTGCTTTGTTCTTAAACTGTATTCTCAATTTTTTCACACATGTAAAGGCAGGGAGAAACCACTGTAGTGGTGGGACTATGTTATGGTATGCCGCTTAAGCTACGTACAGCGCATACAGTGGCTTTGCAGTATCCAGCTCCAAGTTACCAACATCTTGTTCTTAGGTTGTGTTCAACTCCCCACCCACCCCACTCCCTTTATCTGCTGATATAGTTTAAAGCATGTGTTGTATTTTATCTGTGACACGTATAATTTCTTTCTGGTATTTTGGGCCTGGTAATTCTTCTTTTGGGGTCTATTCTGTGCGTTGTTAGATGCTTAGCCCCATCCCCAGCCTCTACCTACTAGATGCCAGTAGCATCTCCTGCCTCCCCAACAACCAAAAATGTCCCCAGACAGTGCCACATGTTCCCTGGGGACACATTCACATTGGTTGGAAACTGCTTCAAGCGAGACCCTTTTAAAAATTTTAATGGAAAAGCAGTATCACTACCACATTAACAAAAATATTCTCAGTACCTAGCCAGTTCATGTTCAGGTTTCTCTTACTGTTCTAAAAATGTTTTTTCAAGTTGGTTTGTTTAAGGATCCAGACAAGGAGTCATTTAAAACTTTCTTATAACTTGTCAATTCTACAATTCTCCGCCATTATTTTTTTATTTTTTACAAGCCATTATACTTGTTTAAGTAATAGGAGTATTTGTCTTATAGAATTCCCTCATGTTCTGAATTAGTGGTTCATGTGAGATAGACGCCTGAGTAGGTCAGGATTCAACTTTTTTCTTTTGTGTCAGCCTGGGTTTGAATCCTAATTTTTGAGCTTCCCTTAATTTATCTGGAGAGAACATCACCCTTAGGATTGGTGGCTCAGGACCCACCTGGTGCAGAGGAGACAACACAATGGTATCTTCCCCAGGAAGCTTGCCTCTGTCCACTTGGGTCTTGAGTTGAGTTTGCCTTTGCTTTCTCACCCTCCACAGCTCTGTGTGCCTCTGCTTTGTGTTCTCTCATTCTTTGATCCTGGGGTTCTAGAGGATGTTTGGGGAAATGCCCCCAAACTTCTTTCCCTCTCTCTCACTCCAGGAGTTCCTAGCTTGGGTGGATGCTGGTGGTTGCTGTGAGTCAGCTCCTTCTTGGGAGTGGAGAGGCCACCTGGCCTTCACAATCTGCCTCTTGTTCCACAGATCTTCGTGGAGTTCACCTCTGTGTTTGACTGCCAGAAAGCCATGCAGGGCCTGACGGGTCGCAAGTTCGCCAACAGAGTGGTTGTCACAAAATACTGTGACCCCGACTCTTACCACCGCAGGGACTTCTGGTAGAGGCGGTGGGGGAGGGTGGGGCCGGGCTGGCGTAGGGCTTCTGCCCTGCCACCCCCCCTTTTTCCCCCTCTGAAGACATGGGCAGAGGAGTGACAGCCGAGTGACAGCCGGCAGCAACTGGAATGGCAGCAATTTAAGGGTGGGGGTGGGGGGTTGGGGCAGGGAGGGGACTGGGGAAGTGCGCACACAGGCCCACACAGACACACGCACCCACAGACACAGGAAGGGGTCGGGATGGGGAGGGGTGCACAGCAAGGTGGGGTAGGACCCCCACAGCCCCTCTCCAAAACAGCCTCTCCTCCCTTATTCCTTCTTTCTCCTCCCCTTCCCCACTGTAGAAACATAGTGTGTTTATATTTTATGGCCAAACTATTTTGAATTTTGTTGTCCGGCCCGGTGCCCTGCCCTCTCCCTTTCCAGGACCATAGCCCCGTCCTCTTGGCCTCTGGTCCTCTCCCTGGTTTCTTACATAGCTGATTCTCTTTAGCCTCCCCTGACCTGTCCCTAGCCTGGTGTCCCTTGTCCCTCTCCTATTCTGTGGCAGTTTCATATTTGCTAAAACGAATTTGCTCATTAAACATTTTGTTGTATTTTACTTTATGGAGCTCCTCTGTGTCTGGTGTGTGTAACCCGGGTGTGTTCCCTTGGCTCGAGGCCTAGCCTTTGCTCCAGGAGGCCGGGCTGTGCCCAGCCTTTGGCCTTTGGCATTGCCGCCCTGCTGCCCTTGGCTCGCCCCGGGGGCTCTCCAGCCTGCGCGCCGCCGCCTCAGGCTGGG